TCTTTTTACAGATCATTCAAAAAGACGGAATAAGTTTGCCTGCATATTGTTTGAAAATCATTAGAGAAACAGATTCCACCACCAAATCTCGTGTAATACGATATTTATCCACTCTCGACAGTTAAATTTTAAATATTTAAAACGCTCGGTGAGCCTCGCGTTTTAAATTTGAAAATTTAACTGTCTCGAGTGGATAAATATCGTATCACACTCGATGCAGTGGTAGAATCTATATATCTCAGCTATTTCTCAAGTATCAAATAATGTTTGTACCGTAATGTTTCTGCTATCCAATCCTACCACTTTCAAAAGTTATTTCCAATTTATTTTTTAAAGATTTAATGTCTGAGATTATGCACATACACTGTCCCGTGTTAGGGGAGAGTTTTGTGCCAGCTAACATGTTTAACCCGCCACATTCTGTATGTACCTGTCCATAGTGAGGACCCAGTAATTTGGTGATTGTTGATTGTTGCTGTATATCATATTTATTTTTCATAATTGATTTGTACATAAATCAGGCTGCTTTAGTTTTATTGTTTTACATTTGTCATTTCGTGGTCGTTTATATCTTACTATGCAGTATAGGTTTTGCTAATTGTTGCAGACTGCATGGAGGAATATTCTTTTCAGAATAATAATTTCAATTATGGTGTCCAACAGTGGTGTATGGTTTAATTCCACTATGTACTAGAGTTTGAATATGCCATATTAGCGCTTTTAGTTGGATCAGCTGGTGCCACTATGCACAATCATCAAATCATACCTGAAACTATCTGAAATGATGCAATTTTCTTGTATACTAGTATTACAAGAAATGCTGATGTTGTTATAATAGCCTAGCAATGATGCAACATATATTTTTGAAGGCTGTATGGTTGCCTGTAATTGCTTACATCCACTTCATTTGAATTTTGGTGGATAGTTGTCTCATTTGCAATCATACCACATCTCGTTATTTTTATAATAATTACACATGTCTAATCTATAATAAGCTATTAACACTAAGATATGTTTTGCCTATTTGTTATTTTGATAATGCAAATGTTACACTTAAAATAGTAATACTTTAACATGTAAGTGATATTCAAAGTCAATGAACCATGACTGAAGGTACAGGGCTAAACAATCTCTATGGAAATGAAAGGTGCCAATGCTTGTACAACTGCAAACCAAATACCATTGACTTTTCATAAGTCGTTCCCTTTAAACAAACCTTAACACAAATTCAATTTCTAAGTCAATGAACCATAATGAGGGGGTGGAGTTATATAATATCCATGGAAATGAAACTTTTGAATACCAATACGTTCGCATACCAAATAGCTTTGACTTAAGATTACTGGTAATTTTAAACAGACATAATCATAATAATCACAAACTCATTCATGTAAACTAAGTAAAAGTTTCAAAGTCAATAGATCATGCATATGACTGAGGGGTGAGGACCAAATATCTTCTATGGAAAGGAGACGTACTAATGCTTCTACACCTACATGCCAATTATCATTGACCTACCACTATTGGTTTCCCTAATACTAACCTAATCAAAAACTAATAAATGAAATTTCAAAGTAACATAAGTTTCCAAGTAAAAAGAGCATGATTGAGGGGGCGGGGCCAAATAATCTCAATGGAAATTAGAAATGAAAAAGTTTATACAACAGCACACCAAATATCATTGACCTACCACTAGTGGTTCCCCCTAAACTGACCTAATCACAAACATATACATGTAAACTATGCAAAGTTTCAAAGTCAATAGACCATGACTAAGGGGGTTGGGCCAAATATTCTCTATGGTAATGAGATGTGCCTATGCTAACACAACTACTTACCAAATGTCATTGACCTACCAGAAACCAGACCTTATCACAAAATCACAAACTAATACATTGTTGATTCCGCCAAAACAGCATGCCTATATATATATATATATGTCTCACTTTTTGACTCTGTCAAGGCAAGACAAAAATTGCAACAGATTTAATACAAATATTTTGTCCATCTTTTTTTAATATTCTTCATTTCTTAGATATATCAATGCTGCGTTTACACATAATTCGAATTCGATTCACATTATTAACTGATTTGAATTAGTTTAATACGCATTCGAAACGTTTAATGTCCAAAAGTAAATTCTACTTGGAATTGCAATACACGTCAAAATCGCTTTACTGTGAATGCAGGGGTTAAAATTAACATTTGGTACTGGACAGTCCAGGACCTTTGACACTCCAAACTGAAAGGTCCACAACCTAAATTCCAGGTCCTGCTTTTACTTGAAATAGTTCATAACTCAGTAAGATACTTTAATGTGCTTTTGGTGTTAAGTTAGCTTGTTTCATTGTCAGTGTCACTGTCGTTTAACATGTTTAATAATAAATGTAATTGTCTTGTATATTAATTTATGAATTCAAATAATCTTTTTTTTTGTATTAGGAAGGCTGAGGGAGGCTGAGGGTATCACTGTGGGTGGGTGTGTTGTCTCAACAATTGATTATTTGTTACTAATTATACCATTATATTAAACAGTTCAAATTCAAAACTGTTTAAGTGTATCATATCTAGTTGCACTATATATTATATTAGCTAGTTCCTCTGTGAAAATAAAGTAAGAAACTTCCAGATTTTATAGGCCCTTCAAAATTGAGAAGAAATTACCTCATGGAATTGTAGTAATATGTTTAAACAATAAAAACATCTACATGTAATATCAATATTTATTAATGATAAGGAAAATACTGTCACATTTTATTGGTTTTTGACATGAAAATTTGTGAACTAAAAGTAATTTTGAGTTTCTGTATAAAATATTTCCTGCTTTTTCTTTCTTTTCAATATATCTTTGGTTTTCAATTCTAGAGTTTATATTTCATCATGATAGATGTATTTTGTCTCATGCCTGGAATTATTTTTTTTTTATTGTATTTAATCGGCAAACCCGGAATTACCCTTATCCGCCCCTGGAATTAGATCCGGTATTATAATTGTCTTCATTTCCGGTTTATGGCATCCATTGTTTTTCAATGTTGTTTTTGTCAGTCAGATACGATTTACTCGGATTTACACATAACATGTTGGCGATTTTCGGTATAAAGCTAGCGGTTGAACAAAATGATTATTATCAGAAATCACCAAATTTAAAACGTCCTTGACTTACGTTTTGTCGACGAAGTTAAAATTACCGCCAACTGAGACTTCAACTCCGTGTCATATTAGTCACAGCCGTTATACAATATTCCTACGCTTTGTGCCATTTGGCAACTGTAAACGACTTGTAATAAAAGATTTTCGGCGATGAAATAATTCATGCAATTGTTCTTTGACATCTTGGCCAAAAGCACAGGGGATAATAAACTACATAAGGATTTCTATTGAGCACTACTTCCTATGTGCAACTTCAAAACTTTTGGGTGGTTCGACGATCATTTAAGGTTTTTCTGGTCATATTTTTTGTATTCCAGAATTAAAAGTATGAAAAAAGTGTTCAATTAGTTATAAATAACATTATAGCCAGCCAGATAATAACAATGGCACATATTTCAGCATTTATTGGGTAGAACACAAATCTAGGGTGCTCGCATAAAGCAGCTTAACTGCTTAAAAACAGAGCAACAGGATAGCGTGACAGATAAGTGAATTGAAAGATTCTAAGTTTTTAAATTTCAATGCATTCCCATTTGACTATTAAAAAAATATTCCTTAACAGTTGTTAAATGATTTGTTGTATTGATATTATTCTTTAAGAATCTGTTATTTTTATTCCTTCATCACAGTTTTCTCCTGTGACTTGTGCAGTGCAGTGTAGCCAAAGTTATAACGTGAGGTCTCGTAGTTAAGGTAACAACATACGGGAAAAATCATCTGCAAATTAGGGTCTGGGAAGTCAATAATTCAATATTGTTACATTTAAGGACTTTGATAATAAAGGATTTTCTATTTAAAGTTCATTGTCCATTCTTTTAGAGTTAAACTTAGTCATTCAAGTATATAAAACATGCTCAACTTTTTTTTTCAAATTTGAAGTTTCACAATTTTAATGACTGGTTATGAGGGTAATAGCAATTAAGTTTTCCCATGGATTATAAATATTGCCCTCTGGTTTTTTTTAAAAGATCTAACTAGTCAAAAAAGGTTTTTATGGGTAAGTTCCATTAAATTCTAAACTCTGAACTTCCAATTTGACAATTACCATGTCCATGTGACGGCATAAAAATAATTAACTCCATTCTTAAATAATATTGTTTGGTATCAAATAATAAACAGCTGTGCCATGAGAGCATGATACGCCCGTTGTCTTGTGTGTGAAGTTATATGCAATACCCCCGTTGTCTTGTGTGTGAAGTTATATGCAATACCCTGGTAATCATGAAGAGTTTCTGAGAAACGGCACATGTGAAACCCCCCCACCCCTTTTTTTTACAATAGGATTTTGAATCATCACCAAAAAGTTTACAGATCTTTAGATTAATATAACTAAGAAGTGTTTAAAGTTTTAAGCAATAATCATAAATCGTTTTTGAGATACGGCACGACATGTGAAAACCCCCTCTTTTTTTTTTTTTTTTTTACAAAAAACTCGATAACTCTAAAACAAAATTTTGAATCATCATCAAAAAGTATACAAATCTTGAGATTAGTATATCTAAGAAGTGTGTAAAGTTTTAAGCAATAATCATTATTCATTTTTGAGATAAAGGGCTACATGTGAAAAAAAAACACCCCCTGTTTTAGTTACAAAGCCCTGTAACTCAAAAAGTTTTAATCTTATTTTCAAAAAAAATTAAACAGATCGTTTGACCATCATAAGAAACAACTATTTTAAGTTTCATGAAATTTGGATAAGTTGTTCTTAAGTTACGGTGCGACATGTTTACGCCAGACAGGTGGACGCTGGACATTTGTATACCATAATACATCCTGTCAAAATTTTGACAGGCATATAAAAACCCCTGGGAATTTAAATACTGTCAAATCCTTCGATTAGTAGAAAATACCTTAGTTTTATGTTTATTCTTTGGTGTACTGATGTTGGTAGTCTTTGTTTTTATTGTTGCTGTTGATGCATTGAGTGGCTGTGACATATACTGTATTTGTGGCTCAGACACATATATTACTTGACCAGTCTTTGGATGTGGTGTGTAGACATGTCGACCTGAATCATTTGTTCCAGATGGCTGCAAGATACTGTGCATTCTTATAGGAGTACTGCTATTTCCTGATGGAATATATTGAAGTTGCTGAAATCAGATGCAACAAAAACAGACATTTTTAGATTATCACTTATACTTTCACCTATTACAACAATTAGGTAGGTTTCTAGTCAATAACCAATCATACTAAAACTATAGTACAAAGTAAAAAGATTTACAAAAGTCTGACAGCTGAAGTCCTAGGCAAATGTCACCCTGGAACAACTAAACTAGAAATGTTATACAAATTGATAGGGAACTAGCATTGTACCATTAGACCAAACAGCATGAAGAATACACAGACCATTCCAACCATTCTCAATCCTTTCCCAAATAATCGAAATAATTTTACACACCACCAGAAGAACAAGCATTCTGTGGGTATTGCATGACAATACATAGTAGTCCCCTTACGATTAAAAATTCATTGTGTTGGGAAAAAATTCTAATTTGATCTAGCTATAACTTATCATGGTGTAAATTATATAACAAATATCAAGTCAATTTCTTCAAGCATGACGAAAAAAAGTGTTGAAAACTGATTATTTAAGTGTTTTCTAAGTCCAAGGACCATAACTCTGCACAAAATCAGGCCGCAACAAAATTTGAACTTGATCTGTAACTTCTCATGATAAAAATATTAACCAATTATCAAATCAATATCTTTAAAAATGACAAAAAAAGTGTCGAAAACTGATTATTTTAGTGAATTGTCTAAGTCAAAGGACCATAACTCTTCACAAAATCATCAGATCGGAACAAAATTCGAACTTGATCTGTAACTTGTACTACTTTTGGTTAACTGCAAAATTTGTACTTCATTGTTTTATTTTATGAATATACTTGTCCTGAGAGACGCCATGCTTCCTGGCCAAACATGTTGACCAATTAAACAAGTACCATGTCGTAAAAATTGAGTGTTGTTTTCTTTTGTGAATATATAATTGCCTTAAAATCTGACTCTCACTTTGGAAAGACAGTGACACATCCATCTCAAAATCCAAAAGAGGGTCTGCCAATTCTAATGTGTTAAGTTTTAATTTATAAAAACTGGTTAATGCACATTTGAGTAATCAATAATCATTACAAGTAACAAAGTGTTGACAGAATGGACTGGTTGTGATTTACATAACACTTCCTGTCTTACAGATGGACATATAAAAATAAACTTATCAATAAAGATTATAATCTCTGTACCCAATTAAAATCAATGAGAACACTAATTAGGTCTTTCCACTTTTCGGTGGAAAGACCTATTGTATTTGTTCTGATTATTATTATTTTTTTTTTTTTTCTTCTTCCGCCACTTTTATTTCTTGCGTATAAATTTTGTTTCGCAAGATGTCGCTTAGATGTTTGGTATATGATATTGAACAGTTTATGCGCCTTTGAAATTCACCCTGCGTAACCGAATACTTTTCTTTGTAGGAGTTATCTCCCCGAACACTGTTTTCCTTGTGACTGCATCTCCTCCGTAACCGTATAAGAAAGCGACAAATTTATTTTATAAAATTGCTCGTTATATCCTTCGCATGATTTGTTCAATTTTGACCGAAGCCATACGAACACTCCATATGAGAGTTATTTCCCCTAATGCATTTGAAATAAGTGATATGCATTTGTAACTGGTAAACCATAAGTGATAGAGACCTAGAGTCTGTTGATTTGAGGTCCTTGGTCCTAAAGAATAGAAAACTAGGTCAAGGTCAAAGGTCAAGGTCATGTTGTGATTTTTTACATTAAGTTCATATCGCTTCTTCCTAGAAAGAGTTATAGATATCGACAAAACAATTAAACCAAAAAGTTTGTCGCGACACGTGTTTACTAGAAAATTTTTGTCGAAATGGTACGCGTCATTTTATTGCAGGGTCAATGTCCCTGTTATGGTCGAATCAACAAATTACTTATCAAAACTTCAAACTTTGCAGCTATCATGTTGTAAATGTTTCTTATCTCAATTATCAACCACAGTCTACCACTACACTCCCCCCCCTTTTTTTTTCTACTGATTTTTTTTTAAAAGTTATCCCATTTCTATGAAAAGAAAATCGCTTTTAGTGCCGTACATTATACTGTAAAATGCCAATCCTTCTTATGTACAAATTTCTTTCTGAAATAGAAATCCATCCCTGCAAAAATCTGCTCCAATTCATGTATTTTCTGAAATTAATCGATGAGACACGTGCGGTCCGCTTGATTGGGAAATTAAAATCAATGTCGTAGAAATCGCTCCTTTAAGTTCGTAAATATTACTGAAATCTTACAATCAAATTTCTAAACATGCATTAAAATACAAATCTGTGCTCCCGTAAACATGTGTACGTAATTTGTATGCGTGATCCGACATCAATGACCTGTACAAAATAAAAACAATAGTTATCGTGTTTCTCTGATCAATACACATGTGCTCTGTTCAACGGTCTCCCCTGAAAAGAAATTAATATTCTAACTCCAGACATATATATTCGAGGGTCACGTGATCTCACAACATCATCTCGTGCGCGGACCTAAATTTAGAATAAAACATTGCATATCCAAATAAGGAAAATAAAACTTCCAAGATAAAATTTACTCCGTTTTCCTACAAATTCAATCAAAATGCATACACAACAAATAGATGAAAAATGGAAGTCCGAAGTAACATAGAAACTAGAGAAAATTTATAAACGAATGATGCTAGGATCAATTTTTATGAGGACATCTCAGGCGTCCGTTTAGCTGTGCGGGATGTCTAAGTACGCAGTCACGTTCGGTCAGAACATAGGCGTTATTTAAGTTAGCTGCGTCGCACAGAGAAAGTGCCATGCAATCAATCAATCAATCAATCAATCAATCAATCGACCAACCAACCAACCAACCAACCAACCAACCAAAAAACCAATTAATCATGTTTCGGAGGGGAAAGACCGTTTAACAATTGTTTTTAAAACAATTGATTTATATTATATTTTTTTTTTTTTTTCTTCTTCCGCCACTTTTATTTCTTGCGTATAAATTTTGTTTCGCAAGATGTCGCTTAGATAATTGGTATATGATATTGTACAGTTTATGCGCCTTTGAAATTCACCCTGCGTAACCGAATACTTTTCTTTGTAGGAGTTATCTCCCCGAACACTGTTTTCCTTGTGACTGCATCTCCTCCGTAACCGTATAAGAAAGCGACAAATTTATTTTATAAAATTGCTCGTTATATCCTTCGCATGATTTGTTCAATTTTGACCGAAGCCATACGAACACTCCATATGAGAGTTATTTCCCCTAATGCATTTGAAATAAGTGATATGCATTTGTAACTGGTAAACCATAAGTGATAGAGACCTAGAGTCTGTTGATTTGAGGTCCTTGGTCCTAAAGAATAGAAAACTAGGTCAAGGTCAAAGGTCAAGGTCATGTTGTGATTTTTTACATTAAGTTCATATCGCTTCTTCCTAGAAAGAGTTATAGATATCGACAAAACAATTAAACCAAAAAGTTTGTCGCGACACGTGTTTACTAGAAAATTTTTGTCGAAATGGTACGCGTCATTTTATTGCAGGGTCAATGTCCCTGTTATGGTCGAATCAACAAATTACTTATCAAAACTTCAAACTTTGCAGCTATCATGTTGTAAATGTTTCTTATCTCAATTATCAACCACAGTCTACCACTACACTCACCCCCCTTTTTTTTTCTACTGATTTTTTTTTTAAAGTTATCCCATTTCTATGAAAAGAAAATCGCTTTTAGTGCCGTACATTATACTGTAAAATGCCAATCCTTCTTATGTACAAATTTCTTTCTGAAATAGAAATCCATCCCTGCAAAAATCTGCTCCAATTCATGTATTTTCTGAAATTAATCGATGAGACACGTGCGGTCCGCTTGATTGCGAAATTAAAATCAATGTCGTAGAAATCGCTCCTTTAAATTCGTAAATATTACTGAAATCTTACAATCAAATTTCTAAACATGCATTAAAATACAAATCTGTGCTCCCGTAAACATGTGTACGTAATATGTATGCGTGATCCGACATCAATGACCTGTACAAAATAAAAACAATAGTTATCGTGTTTCTCTGATCAATACACATGTGCTCTGTTCAACGGTCTCCCCTGAAAAGAAATTAATATTCTAACTCCAGTCATATATATTCGAGGGTCACGTGATCTCACATCATCTCGCGCGCAGACCTAAATTTAGAATAAAACATTGCATATCCAAATAAGGAAAATAAAACTTCCAAGATAAAATTTACTCCGTTTTCCTACAAATTCAATCAAAATGCATACACAACAAATAGATGAAAAATGGAAGTCCGAAGTAACATAGAAACTAGAGAAAATTTATAAACGAATGATGCTAGGATCAATTTTTATGAGGACATCTCAGGCGTCCGTTTAGCTGTGCGGGATGTCTAAGTACGCAGTCACGTTCGGTCAGAACATAGGCGTTATTTAAGTTAGCTGCGTCGCACAGAGAAAGTGCCATGCAATCAATCAATCAATCAATCAATCGACCGACCAACCAACCAAAAAACCAATTAATCATGTTTCGGAGGGGAAAGACCGTTTAACAATTGTTTTTAAAACAATTGATTTATATTATATTATTGGTTATGTTTATAAAATCTAAATTTACAAAACATGAATAATAATAAAAATAGAATTAAAAACCAATTGTTCAGAGAACAATTGAAGGTCTTTCCACCCATAAAGATCTATTTTGATATAAAAATATTAAAATTCGGTTTAAAATGTCATTTCCAGCGTCAAATGATAGCTTATTGTACACGGATTCCAAAAATATATGGTTTCTATACATTTTTTTTTAAATAAGGGAGATAATTTGTTACTTCCGGTTTGAAAAATGTTACTTTCGGTATAATTTGAATGTTTACTTGACACTGATTCCAAAAATATATGGTTCTATATACTTTTATATTAAATAAGTACAAAAAATAGCTACTTGCGGTTTACACAAGGTCACTTCCTGTTGGATTTTTCAAGGTCAAATGGCTTGCAACCTAATGCAAAAAGTCCCATGGCTTTATCATGTATACATATGAG